CAGATGCAGAAGTGCACATATTTGGTAGGACTGATAATGAAATAGAGCAAATGGTATAATACCCCAATTTGAAAATAATTAAAATATATATGCATTAGTTCATTAACTATGGGAATTTATATCCTGCCCTTCAAATAGATTTCCAGGGCTGCCAACATAATCAGAAGTACAATATGAATGGAGATGTGTGATATTTATGTCTTCCCCAGTGCTGAGCATATAGAATTTAGACGACCTGAGTTTATTTATAGAAAAAAAGTATATTTTGCTCACAGAAATTGACTGACTTTTTGTTCTTTGGCTTTCTGTATTGTCTCATTCAGATGTAATAAACAAACCATAATGGATTGAGTTGCGACTGAATATCAACTCCATGTACTTTTTCCTTCCCTTGTAGGAAGGGAAACACTGGCTTCAATGTTTCTGTCCTTTTTCATTTGAACTGGAAAACTAACTTTATCTTGAGTTATGTATCAGATCTTGCTTTCATATTCTGGTTGGTAAATCTAGACAAAACGTTTCAAAATGTTTTATGATTTGCATTTAACAGGACAGTGGTTTATACTGACCAGAATAAAAACAGTGTTTTTAGCTTGGGACCAAGTTATTTCAGGGGCCAATTGAGTCTATATGAACTTGCCTTGATCCTAAGATTGGCTATGAAAGTCTTGCTGACATACTATCTGGTAAATTATTTTAGGTGGACATAGTCAATAGATAAGGATCTTTCTCTGGTGGCCTCATCCTTGTTAAGTTGTTGTGGCATTGTTTTTCTCAATTTTTGAAGAGGCCTTCGATAGCTGGATATTCCATTGCAAGAGTGGAAAACCACTTTTACCCTGCAGGTTGAACAAGTTTCAGAGAAGCACTAAGAGGCCAATTCTAGCGGTGGGCAGGACCTAAAACCAGAGAGCCAGTATGGTATAGTGGTTAAGAGCACTGGGCTGGGTCTTGGGTAATCTGGGTTCTAGCCATCACTTGGCCATGGAGCCTACTGGAAGACTGAGGGCCACTCACAGCCTCTTGGTCCAACCCCCCTCACCCAGTGTTGTTGTTGTGGGGATAAGATTGAAAGCAGGAGGAGGAGAATGATGTAAGCCACTTGGAGTTCTTAAAAAAGAAAAAAAGTGGGATATAAATCCAATAAATAAATGAGGGTGTTTCTTCTCTGTTGAGATTTCTGGAAGTTATTTTCTTTGCATTTACAAAATTTGCAAGACAAAATATGGGCTTTTCTTCTTATCTTGGTGAGTCTAATTAAACCAGTCAGACTGTTTGAGGGGTGGCTAACAAACATTTGTCTAAAAAGTAAGTGTTTTGAACTTATTTTAATTTATGTGTGTTAAAAAAAACTTGTGTGTTTTCAAGAAAAAATCCAAATTTATTATATAATGAGATTATCTTTTTGGTTATTATTATTATTATTATTATTATTATTATTATTATTATTATTACATTTCTGGTTAGCTTTTGTCAGGAGAAAAACAAAGGAACTAAATACTTCTCCTAAGATAAAATGTTAGATTCATTTTGAAAAGAACCATTTATATTGTTGGTGGCATTTTAACATGGGGAGGGACAGTTTATTGGAAAGAGGGAGTAGAATGCAATGATAAGATGCAAATACATTGCATACCTTCCATATAGCTGCTGATCTTGGAAGCTAAGCAGGTTTGGGCCTGGTTGGAATCTGGATGGGTGAACTGGCCAGAGAGCTTTGAGTATGGGTGGTATAGAAATGTAATGGAATAATAAACATCCATGGCTTTTCAGAAATGTAACATAATAGATCATATTTTATAATACTGTTTGATATGAGTGCTTATGAAAGGCTAACATTTAATTATAGCCTAAGTTTTTGCAGACTAGAGCCCACTTCATATAGTCTATGGAATTTAAGCCCCACTTGATAGGTTTCTTCATACACTTATGGGTTTAAAGTATGGGGAGGAAATATAAAAGTTGGAGTTAAATGGCTATGAAATACATAAAGAATGTGACAATTCAGTTAAAATATATGCAAAATACATTTTCATGGCAACAGAAACTGGTAGTAAGGCAATCTGCCTTGAACTTGCAGAGTAAGTTACCATCTTTAGTTGGACAGATCACTATTGTTTTGTTTCAGATTCAACTGATCTTTTTGATAAATTGCAATTCAAAGGGAACTCTTGCATGAAAATGCTGAATTAAAACTTAATGAAATGTGTAGTGAATTAACTGGGGAAAATATAACTGTAGTAGCATTGAACTTGTTACTTGTTAGATTGCTAATTCTAGTCACAATCTAAAGGTATGCAATGCAATCAATGTATAATTGTGAGCCGTCCAGAGACAAAAGTGATTGGGTGACCCAGAAAAATCCTAAATAAATAAATAATGTAACACAATAAAGAGTGTACAGTTAGTATTTTTTTTGCTTATGATCTGGAAATGAATGAAAAAGGCAAGGAATATTTTGGAGTAAAGAGTTTATAGTTAAACTAGCTTAAAAAAACTGTGGCCACAGGAAAGAGATTTGGCTTGCGATTTACCTCCAAACTATGGGATACACTCTCTGAATCAGAATTATGATTTATGACCACTCTGTTGACCTTTAGAGATGGTACAAAGGCATCTCTTTGCAATTTAGCTTTTAAATGCATAGTTTTAAACGATTTAATGAACTTATTTGTATTGTTCTGGGTTTTATTATTGTTGCAGAATTTTGTTGTTTTAAATTGTTGTGTACCACCTTACGTATTCATTTATTTTATTTATAGCCAGGGCTTTTTTTTTGACATAGAACGCACCAGAACAGCGTTCCGGCACCTTTTTTCCCAATGGATTTTACGAAGTGATTTTGAATTGCCTGTCGGCGAAGCAGGTCAGCAGCAAACATCATTAACATAGTGTCTGCGGGCTGCTTTTGTGTCCGCACTGCTCGGCTTGGGATGCTGCTCGGCTTGGGATTGGTGTGTGTGGTCGTGCACTGAGTGCTTACTGCCGGTGGCGACGTGAGTTTCGGCACCTTTTTTTTTTTTTTATATATACAAAAAAAGCACTGTTTATAGCCTACCTTTTTCTGTCAAGGAACTGAAAGCACCTTACATAATTCTGTCTTCATCTGTGAGTTAAGGTTAGAGTCAGTGACTAGCCCAAAGTCACCCCCTAAGTTTCATAACCAAGTGGAGACCACAACCCAGATCTCCCAAGTCCAAGACTCTAACCATTATGCCATAATGACACTCCTATTTTTAGTAGATGTTAATAATCTGGCATTAACTTACCAGGCAGTATCCAAACAGGTCATTGCTGAAGCAGGGGCTACCACCAATTCTGTTCTGCAAGTGACACCCATTACTTGCGCAGCAGAAATATAGTGCTTCTTCTAGGAAATAGAAATAGCAGAAATGTGTACTTCTAGAATCAGGTGTGTTAACAGAGCTCACATAACAGATGTGCTCATCTGTCCCAAACCAGTAACTACTACTTTTCCTCCAAAGGAAACATGAAATCCCTATTGGAATGGAATTGGTGGCAGCCCTGCTTGTAGAACAAAATCCATGGCGGACCCCATCTGCAGATCAATCTGCTTGGATACTGTCCAGTGTCTGAAAGCAGAAGCTGTAAATATTATTGTCTGAAACCATTACTTTTAAGAAATAATACCTGATAATCTTACATCTAATAACTATTATCAGGTATCAGGTATTATCAGGTATAAAATCATATAACACACAGGGGGGGGATTCTAACAGCTTTGTACTTTTACAAGAACCCCACGCCCGCCCAGCTTTTGTGTTGGTAAAGTTCTCCATGACCTTTCTTTCTACTTCCGCTTTTCTTTGAGACTCATCAGAAAGACTGTAAAGAGAGGGTTTTTGTTTTCTGGTTTAATTTATTAAAGGTGTGCTATTTGGAGTTCTTCAGTATTTGTAGACATTTTTGAAATATTTTTGCTTGTTCTGATTTCTATTTGTATTATTGTATTATTTGTATTTCTATTTGTATTATTGTATATGTTCCATGCTCTGATGCAGTGTCATTTGCTCATGTAAATATTGTTCATTTTTTTGAATGAATAAGCTAAGTTTTTATAAAGACTTGCTGTCAAGTGAGTTTGATTAATATTTAGTGTATATGAAATACCTGGCAGACCTACAAAGCAAGAAATTTTGCATTGGCTGGTTAGTTAGGCTAGGGATCAAATGAACAAGAATGTGAAACATTTTCTAACACAAGACAATAGTGTGGTATGTTTTTCTTAATCAAGGTAACTGGCGTTTTGTTTTTGGTTTGGTTTGGTTTGGTTTTTTTTTTTTGGTAGATTGTCTACCTGTATTGGAATTTGTATAGATCCAGATAAGAATTCAAGTACGTTTGAAATCTTCAGTGTTCAGTTTTGGATTTTATGCCAGATAATCAAAATATGAAATTAATCTACAACTGTTTTAGAAGGTTGTAAAATGGCAGTCCATTTTGAGGTTATAGTTTTTTTTCAAAGTGTGTTATAACAGCATATTACCTGTCTGTTAATAGATAAAAAGAAAGATCCAAGTCAAGGACCTCTGTACAGGTAGAATTGCAACTATTTTCACAGACCTAAAACTTGCAGAAGTATGCCCCTTGGGACTAGCAGCTGATACATACTTAGACAGCTTTTGTGCTAGTAATTTGAATATTATCTGCCTCCAGGATTTTTTGCATCCTTTGTTAATATCAGTGTTGTAAGTACCAGTGGATTTGGAATGTACTTAAATTAAAATTAAAAATGTATTGAAAATAGATGAACTGTGCAAGTTTTAGAGTGAGAATTGTGCTGACAAAAATATGCCAAAGATAATTTGAATTATGTATGATTAAATGTTTAATCAAAATAATGCTTCAGAAATAGATAATTTCAAAGAATATTTTTCATGCAAGTATCTGAAATCAAAATAACCTGAAATTTTAAAATAGAATTTTCAAAGGTATAGAAAAATAATATGCTGATAATAGTTTTTGTGGTTTTCTTAAAGGAGATGCCTACAGTGTTGTTTATTCACCAGATGGACAGGCATGAAGGTGCATGGACCATTCTGCCATTAATGCAAGAGTAAGTTCAAAATTTGTCTCTGATGTACAAAGTGTCAGCTTGGGCTGGGACAAGTGTGTGTCTAAAGTAATCTGCAGTGAAAATGTGACAGAAAGCTGTAGTTTCTTGGCTCCCATTGCTTTTGAAGCAAAGATTTCCATCAGAATTTTCTGTCTTATTCACATACATTTTTTGTTTAACTCCTTATTGTCCTCTCCCTGCATATACATGCATATACACCTTAGTCTACACATCACTTTTCAAGATTCAGTTAAAGGTTTTTATTTTAGGAAATAATTGATTTATAGTCAATGGTGAAGTAAAGGTGAGACCATAGAGCAGGGTTGGGGATCATTTTCAGGGGAAATCAGTTTTGTAGAAGCTTTTGGAAGTCACGTTACAATGATGAGTAGCACAGAAGGCAAAACCCAGCGACTTTTAGTTTAAAGATTTTACTGGTGCTTCCTATTCCTTAGGAGAGGTGTTTCAACTTTTTAGAGTAGGGAAAACTCTGAACAAAAGCTAGAAAACCACCAAATATTTGGTAGCTGGGGGAAGGGGGCATGGCCAGCTGGAGAACTCTAGAGGACAGAACAGTACCCTAGGAAAGCTGGCTGAGATCCCTCCTGGCCTTGAGGTTTCCCAGGTTTGGACCTAAGGGGAACTTTAGTTTACTGGTGCAAGTGGAAAATTCCAAAGTTTAAGTGGGGATGGAGAACACATGAGCTCAAGACGCATGTTTCAGTTTGTCTATTTAGGACGCCATGGTATCAAATATGAGCAAGAGCTGTAAAATTACTTTTGGCAGCATTAATTAGCCCTTAGTTTATTGCTGATAAAATCAGTTCATATGATTCCTTAATTTCCCTTTATTCTGGCATCTAAGATACTGAATTCCTTCGTAATACAAATTTTCAATTAACCCAACTCTTTCTTTTCTTAGGTTTTCTCTTGCGTATAGCAGAAACTCTTCATGGATTTTTTTCTGTGAAGAAGATACAAGAATACATATTGTAAAGCTACTGAAAGCACTTAGAAGATATGACAAGTCCAAGGTAAAATTTTATAGTTGGGTACTTATATTTGGAATACTAAAGGGAAAGCACAAGTGGAAAATTGATGCTTTTATTACTTTATGTTTATACAATGTGAAATGTTCACAATGTTTATGTGAAACCCCACTTACGCCTTGCAATACTTAATGGCAGAATAACAAGACCACAATGAAAGATGAAGTAATTAACGAGCATAGTTTAGATATCAAGAGGTCAAATACTATTTGGTACCAACATTAGAGTTTTATTCCTCTAACTTACCACAGTGTTCAAGATCCCCTCAGAAATATTCAAGAACAAAATTCTGCCACTTACTTCACTGTCAAAGAGACAGTGATCTTGGTTTACATAATCAAAATAAGCTTAATAATTGTCCAGCAGCCCATGTATTTGTGGAGTGCTGTCTCCTCTAACAAACCATGCTGCCCAGATTTGGACAACATGACCTGGCACACCTGGGCAGTGAGCTTGGACATTGCACTTCCTTTCCATGTGCTATGATTTAAATAAGTCATGCTGGCTTATTTTGATAGTGCAAGCTGATACAGTGCCAGCTTGAGTTTATATTGTTCCCAAGTGGGTTCATTTTTCTGGCCAAGATAAAATAATTATTGCCTTTGCTCATGAAAACATGCTTCCATTAATTTCAGTGAACAACTATTAGTTACATTAACAAGCAGCAGACTAGTTTATACTCCATCATTCGCAGTTTACCTGGCAGGCAGCTAGGGCAATGATATGGTAGAATTAAAATATAAGATCAGTTTTAATACTTGCTCTTTAAGATTCAGGTTTGTTAATGAATTATTTCCTGATTGCTTACTTATTTACCTCTGTCTTGAGAGGTATGAAAAATATGAGATATCTTTGCTATACCTAACCCTGACTTGTTTCAGTAAGTAAAGCCAGCAGAACTGATGCTGTTGATTCTTCTGCCTACCTATATAAAATAAGTCAGTGGTATGTCAACAGTTACTTCTTGTTTACATGGTGAATAGATTTGCCTGTCAAACCACTCATATATGCATTTTCAAGTTTGATGGAAGAAGGATATCTCTGATAGATAAAGAAGATACATCTTCTTCAAAAAATAAACAATTGTGTATAGTTCCATTGAACCATCAATCTTCAAAGAAAATGCAAAGTCTCTCTGCCCTTTAAGTTTGACACTACAACTTTCTTAAAATTATGCACTTTGCACCATCAACTGCATCTCTGTTCTCCTGCAGGAATTCTTTTTAGGAAAAGCATTGCATGATGATGAATCTACAATTATTCACCATTACGCCTTTGCAGAAAATCCTACAGTTTTTGAATTTCCAGATTTTGCTGCTGGCTGGGCACTTAGTATTCCACTTGTAAAGAAGTAAGAATTCAGTTTTGTAATATTTTGAAAATTTATTTACTAAATGGTTTGGTGTTTGTAAAGTATGTTAGAGGGATAATATTATGCTTCACATTAACTTGCTTTCTGTATGTATGGAGAAAGCTCTTTGATCACAAATGAGCTCTTAGCCAATTCTTTACTTAACATTTTAATATAAATTTCATTAAATCAAAGCCATATAAAAAGGCTTTCTTAGAGAAAATAAAATAAATCACTAACAGTAGGTATATATATGAAATTTACTATATGCCAATACAACTATCAATAGAAACAGTTATGGATAAGCTTCAGAAAAGGCAGACTCTATATTAATATATTTATCTACTTACAGATGATGTCTAAATATCACTAGTTTATATACTGAAAGTGCAAATAAGCTCTTATCCAGTGTTAATTAATATAAAACCTTAAATGTCCATTTCCATCTACTACATCACACCAACGTATTGTAAAATGCACTATCATGCAATCAAAGTGTCGTAAATGTACATGTTGGAAAATAGACATTTGCATAAAATGTTAGTATATTAGTTTAGAAACGAATATGAATTGTAGCCAAGTGTCCAAAATAACTGGGCAAAAGTTTAGAATTAAATTTAGCTAGAAGTAGAAGAAAGAAGATGGTGATGAAGCCTTTTAGAAGTATAAGTGTATCTTCTGAAGAACTAAACTTTTCTTGTTCTTTCTGCTTGCATGATTAGTTGACTAGAAAGCCATGTGAGGATAAGGAATATAATTATCCCTTATATTGCTGATTATATTTTAAAATGGATTGCAAGAGTATGTCTAACCAAAGCATTCAGTGCTGATTTGTTTTATTTTATTACTGAGACCAGGTGTGCAGGAATGTCTCCTGTTCACCTGCCAATTGCTTGTGGTACATGTACATGCTGCAGGACCTTCTCCCAGATGCTGTATTAATCTCTAGTCTGGCAGCACTTTACAGCTGCTTCTCCTAGCATTATAAATCAGAGAGGTAGTTGGGATAATGCTGCACAGACCTTACCAGTGAGTACAGAAAATAAAAAAATGATGGGAATAGATAGAGTAGGAAGTAGAGATACTGGTTTGGAGCAGAGTAGCTGCTGGGATGAAATGATAATAATTATAATAGTAATCCTCCTTCAATGCTTTGCCTGTGTGGCTATTTGATGAAGAAGATTGTTGAAAAATGAGAAATATTTGGAGGGTTGACAAAGACAGCAGAATATAAAATCATGAAATCCATTCTAATTTCTCAGTTAAAAGTGAATGTGTATCTAAAACTTGACCTGGGCAAAAAACAGAAGTCCAAAATCACCCTGTGGCTGATAATTCTTGTTGAAAAAAACTGTACTATAAATAAGAATGGCCAATGTAAATAGTAGGATGATATCTTTATTGTTGTTATGTGCTGTCAAGTAATCTCTGACTTTCAGCAACCCTTTGAATGAATGTCCTCCCAAATGTCCTGTCCTTGACAGCCCTAATCAGCCCTTGACTTTATGCAATCAATCCATCTCATATTTGTTCTTCCCCTTCTTGTTTTGTGTTCAACTTTCCCTAGCATTAATGTCTTCTCAGGATGTGCCCAAAGTATAACAGCCTCAGTTTTGTCATTTTTGCCTCCAGGGCAAGCTTTGGATTTATTGTTTGTCTTTCTGTAGGTTCAGGGTATTCACAAAGTGCTTGTCCAGCACCATGTTTCAAATGCAACAATTTTCTAGCAATAAGCTTTCTTCACTGCTCAGCTTTCATATCCATACACAGTGACCAGGAATATATCTGTGTGGATGATCTTGACCTTGGGTTCCAGTGGATAGCCTTAGACTTAATTATATTTTTTAATCCCTTCTTTACTATTTACAAGTCTCAGTTTTCTTCCAATTTCTTGGCTGAAGTCTTTGTTTGAATTGATGACCGAGCCAAGGTATGTAAATTCTTTCATAATTTCAGTTTTCTTTATTATTGAGCCTACACTTCTGTATTCTTCTATAGTCATGATTTTAATTTTCTTAATGTTCACATGCAGTCTGCTTTTGCACTTTCTTTCACTTTCATCAGGAGTTGTTTCAGTTCATTGCTGCTTTCTGCCACTAACACAGCATCATCATCTATATATCCTAAATTACTGATGTATCTTCTTATAATTTTCACTCCTCCTTCCTTTCCAGCTTTCCTTATGAAAAGTTCAGCATGCAGATTGGACAGAGAGGGAGATAACATCACCCTCATCTGATGCCTATTCCCATAGGAAATCATTCTGATTTTTCATATTGTGTCCTAACAGTGTCTTCTTATGTACAATACAGATTACATATCAGAACATTCAAGTACTGATACTCTTTCAGGAGTATCCATGGCTTCTTGTGATCCACACAGTCAAAGGCTTTACTGAAGTCTATTTCTTGTTTCATATATGGTGAAATTCTTTCTTACAACACCTTGAACATCACTTTGCTTGTTTAGGAAAGGCTGTAGTGGCCCTAAAATGCTGCACTTCTTTTTTTTCCCAAATCTTTTTATTTGTTTTCTGAAATATAATAGAAATAAAAAGGGCTACATAGGGAAAAAAGAAGCTAAGGGATGTTCCAAAGATTTTGCAAGCAACTCCTCATTTAAATGCATTTACAATGAACAAAGATCTCTATCAACCACTCCCTCGCTAGCCCATTCATTTCTCTGTCATATATTTATCCAGCCTATACAATTAGTTATAAATCATAACATTGCTTTGGTAACAAATAGTAATCACAAACATTTGTAGGAACTGTATTTTCTTTAACCACTATTTAAATTCATAGAATAATAGAGTTGTAAGGAGCCATGAAGGCCATCGGGTCCAACCCCCTACTGTTGCAGGACACCATGTTACACCACCCCACTCAGATGGCTGTCCAGTTTCTTTTTGAATGTCTCTAGTGTGGGAGAGTCCTCAACCTCTCTAGGTAACTGGTTCCACTGTCAAATTTCTCTGACAGTGAGGAAACTTTTCCTGATACCTAGCCTAAACCTGGGTTGTCACAACTTGACTTGATTATGACATTACTCATAGTAAGCCGTCCATCTTTGAGTAAATTATTTGACTGGTCTTCTATTGACATAACTTGTTAGCTTTGCCATTGTTGCATATTCAGCTGGTTTGTTTTTCCAATCTTCAACAATTAGGCAGTCTTCAGCTTTCTACTTCGAGACAATTATCACTCTGATACTGCTGATATCACATATTTGTATAATTCTGTCATACTCTTTGGGATAGTCTCTGGGTCAGCAAACAGTAACATGCTTTTGGCATTTACTGGAAAGTCAATTTTGAGTATTTTCTGCATGTCTCCATGTACCTGTTTCCAATATATTTTTTTTGAGTCCGTTACATATCTACCACATATGATAAAATGTCACATCTGTTTGCATTTCCAACATTTTCCATTATAATTCTTGTCCATTTTTGTATATCTAATATGCAGTACATAGTACAGCAATACATCTTATACCAATTGTCTCTTAGTGTTGGAATGCAGTAAATTCTATGTCCTTTGTCCATTAGACTTCTCACTGGTGGGCTGATATTTCTTCTTGAAGATTCTGCATTCAGCTCTTCATGCATATTTTGTTTTGTTGAGTCTCTATCATATTTAAACAGTTGTTTATAAATAAGTCTTAGTTGTATGTATGTAATAAACTTATTTTCTGCTCAGTTGGCCCAAGGGTCCTCTAAGCAGATTGCAGTCAATTAAATACACATCTGTATTTCCATTTTGGGGTATTTAAATGCCTGTTGATAATTTCCAATCTATCTTGGAATAGTTCTTTTGGTACCCTGACTACTCTGGGTGTTTTATTCCTTCTAAGTGTTTTCAGAGTAGCTTTCACTTTCTAAGACTACAGGTTCTTCTTCACAGGATTCCTCTTTGAAGAAGTCTGTCATCCTTTCATGTCTTCCATTCTTCCATATATTGCTTCCTCCTCCTCTTTATTTTAGCCTAGTATGATGTCCCCCCGTTTGTCTTTCAGCATTCCTAATCTAGATTTGAATTTCCCTTTGATTTCTTGGATCTTCTGGAAGAGATCTCTCTCTCTTTTTTCTTTTTTGCTCTTCTATTTCTTTGTAGTAGAACTTGTAAGAGTTCTTTTTGCCTGTATGTGATAGTCACTGAAAAGTTGCATTCAGGATGCTGACCCATTTAATGTCACCCTTTGCTTTTCTTATCACCTGTCTCTTGTGAGTGTTTCCTCTGTAATCAATCTAGGCTTTTTCTTTCTTTTTGCTAGAGAATTGTCTTTGGGCATTATAATGTCTCTGGTTTTATTCCACAGTTTTTCTAGCTTACAGTCAGTTGCATTCAGTAATACAAATTTATTCTTTATATGAACATTAAATTCATCAGGAAAGTTACTAATGCTTCTGTTAGTTATCCTTTTTAGTTTTACTCTGTTAATATTAAGAGTTCATTTTTGATGAACTTAAGTAGAGGCAGGCTTCAGACAATTTGGGCTTTAAGAATCAGCACTTTGAATCAGGCTCAGAAGCTAATAGGCAACCAGTGTTGTTGGCAGTTCCCGGCTTTCCTTCTCCAGCAGACTTAGACAAAACCTTAGAAGTATAGTCCTAAGTTTGTAGAACTTACCGAACAGGATAGTTCAAAGTCATGATCTCTTTAAGATATGGGAGTAGTTTCTGCTCATGTGAAGAGTTGACTCCACATGGAAACATCTCCTTCCCTCCCAGAAAAATGATGACTCCATCCTCAGAGTGGCTCCTGCTGATTGAGGGCTAGATGTCAGGAACATCAGAAACTTCTTAATTGGTCCACTCACTTTGCCTATTAGAGTCAAAGGAGACTCCCACCCTCAGTCTTCATTCCACCATGTTCTGAAATACCTTCTTCCTTTTCCACGTCAGAATGGTTTTCACACTTTGCCTGAGTGTCTTCACTTTGTAACCTTGAAATTTCCCTCTGCTCCTATGAATCTGAAGAATCAATCTGAGGAGACTAACC